CGTGCCTAATGAAAAAAAAAAAAACGTATATGTAGAGGGCGTCCCAAAATTCACACAAGAAATAATTTTTATAGAAAACAGTTTTAATTAAAAATTGTAAATTTTGTATTGGTCGTGGGTTTGTTGGCATAGCCCTTAGACTTCAAAAGAATCCAAAGAAAAAATCCAATGGCATTAAATCTCATGATCGGGACGGCCAATTCTTATCACCAAGACCGGAAATTACTCTACCAGGAAATGACTCGTGCAGTAATTGAATTGTTTCTCGGGTTGTATACTATGTGGCACCGTCTTGTTGATACCACATGTCGTCTACATCCATATCTTGCAATTTAGGCACAAAAACTGCATTATAAAGTTGCGATAGCGTGCACCATTAACTATTATTGCCTGACCAGCCCCATTTTTGAAAAAAAATTGTCCGATGATGCCTCCAGCCCAAAATTCCCACCAAACAGTGACACATTGTGGAAGAATTTGTTTCTCAACAATCACTCGTGGATTTTCTGAACCTCAAATGCGTCAATTTTGTCTATTAACTAAGCCATGACGATGAAAATCATTTGAAAAATTTTAGAAAATCAAGTTTGAATTTTCTAAAATGATGGCATTATAAAAAATGCTTTGAATAAAATATCGATATTAGTTACGAGCCTTTGGATAACATTTGCATATAACTCTGTCAAATATTTTTGCTCCAAGTGTTAGTAGTTGAAAGTTAATACAACTTCTTCGAGGTCATGATTTTTCCAAAATGTTAAACTGTTTATATTGCAATATATAGAATTTTCTCTGAAATCGATATGTTTAGAAATATACAGGGTGTTCCATTTAAAAAATGTAATATTTGGCGTGTCCGGTTTTTACTCATCACCCCGTATGTTTCAAATTAATTTTGTAGTTTACGTTTCTTGATTCTGTACAACTTTTATATAAACTTTTTTTCTGTATTATGAGTAACAAGGGAGTTATTGTACTTTCTCACACTAATGGCCTAACCTGTATATTATTTGAATAGACTTTTTTATTTTAAATAATTATTAATGACTAATTTAGAATAATTTGTTCAGTTCGGTATTAATAACACCAAGCTGTTCCTCGGGTTAAACTAGGTTAGGTTTTTATTTCTAGATTCAGTTGAATAATTAAATATCCTATAAATAGCAAAATGTATGTTACGACTATTATTATTGAAAGTTATTATATAAAACTCTTTTTCATTGTTCTGTAGAAATAATACATTTTATGTTCCGTTTTATTCAGTTTTGAACTATTTTTGTACAAATATCAATATGTATATGGAAATTTTCACAATCTGACAACTGAATAAAAATGGTTAGTTATTAGGACCGGTGGTTTTTTAAATTCTGTTTAATTACAATAAAAAGTTGTGGTATTATTCATACCGGAAGTGAACTGAAGTACGAACGTATTTATTCTGTTTTCTGCTATATTACATATTACCGAAAAGCTATTAAAAAATGTCTTATAAGAATTTCATTGTTGATTCAAAGTCGAGGAAAGTTTAACACATAAATCAAATGCATGATTTTTGTCAGTAACTTGTTATTTCGTTACACTATCAATATTATGGGATACTGTTTAAATTAGTATTTAGATGGCCGAAGTCTAAACTTAAAATATGAATAATGTATCCAAGGTAATCTCCTGGTAATAGTTTAAATAACTAGCTGGATTTCACAGGTAGACTGTACGATAATTCAATAAACATAGAATTCTAAATAAAAAACTTAGATAAATTTGGAACGAATACAATGAAGATGAATATTTCGAGGATATTTCTGGATCTGGTCCGGGCTGAGTATTGGCCTGAAGGTTTGCAAAAAATGTAATAAAATCAGGGTCGTATTTAAAAAAATGAGGTTGATGATGGTCCTGGAGGAACGAAACGTTACACATACAAATTGATTATGCCAGTCGATAGAGGGCAAAAAATACCATGAGAAAGTGTTCTTCTTTTTTCAATATCACCTCAAATATTTCGAAAACAAATCATGTTAGCCTTGATTTTTTAGAGGTATATTGTTGGTGCTCTGATTATGCAACTTTGCCCCCATACTACTACTATAGATAGTTCGTATCTCTTACCGTTTCCGAGATCCCTGTAGTGAGAAGCGAATTTGTAACAGCCTAAATATCATTCGGCACCGTTTGGAGATATGCGATTAAATCTGCCCCAGCATTAACCAAAATGGTCACAGAGAATCGATGGATACAATGTCCTGTGTATTTGTCTGCATTTGGCTAATTTAAAAATTTTGCCACTATTTGAGGCATTTTGTCAAACTGATGTATTCCTTCTACTTGCCTGCAGCTTTTCCCTTTCGAGTATTTACAGAAAAAGCGAAATTTTTCAAAAGCAGCGGCATATAAGTTTCGTTTATAACAAATGATCTCGGTTTTTTAGTTTTATTATTCGGTATTTTAATCAAAAGCTTTGATCCTAAATCATTTAAATTGATACAATTCATCACGGTGACATGCACCGGCAACACCGAATATTAAGACAACCTAAAAAAGAAAAACTAAATAATATACGTTAAAATTTTTAGATCAAACGTACCTTATTCATTAAGTATACAGGGTGTCCGGCAAGGTCATGTCAAAAATGAAGTAGTATACAGAGGAGGCCAAAATAGATGTAGTACTTCATATATTTTTTTTTCCTATCGGGCTTCGTTGTGGAGTTATTCGCCTTCAAAGAAAGAAGTTTGAAAAACAAATTTCAATTGTAACTTCTAAGTCGTTACCATGACAACGATGAAATTTGGGCAAATTTCCAAGTTTAAACTGATATTCAATATGCCTGGATTATACAGGAGCAGGAGCAGACGGAACTATCCATTTAAATTTATACATCTTTCACAGATTTTTTCGATTTTCTCAAAAACAGTACACGATATCGACTGATATACAGTATACATTTTTGTAAGTAAAGTGAGAGAGGAATCGTACTATGAAAAAATAATGCCAAATTTGACAACGCTGTCTAAGATGTATAAATTTAAATGGATAATTTCGTCTACTCCTATACAGGGTGATTCAGAACTTATCGAAAAAAAAATTCTGGATGTACAGAGGACCCTTACAAATACAATTTTGTAAAGAAAAAATCAAAAAAGTCAGTTCGAAATTGATTTAAAAATACACTTCTGCACGGCACTGGAAACTGGTCCACTGTAAAACCTGACCTCGCACAATGCGACCGGTATGGCGGCGTGATAAAAACGGACAAAAACTTTCGCAAGGAAAGAAATATGTAAATAGAATTTTATCGCACCTATTTTATATCGGCAAATTCAAATGCTTTTGCCTTTATTAATTATTAATAAAATTAATTTGTGTTTTTAAATAATAAAATCATTTGACATACCCGATGCTGCAACAGCAATTGTTCAAAATTTTATCCACTCACGTGTAAACACATTTGGGTCCGTCTTACTCACTTTCTACGAACTAACACAAATGATGTCTTGCTTCACCATAACACAAATACTTCACCATAATACAAATGTTGTCTTGCTTCACCATAAATTAAAACGATATCCATCAACTCTGAGTTGCTATACACGCAAGCCATTTTTGACACTAACTACTAAAAAACTGATGTAAATACCACAGATAACAGGTAAAAACTACCGCAACGACGGATTTCAGTATTAGGAGTCACATGGCTCTCCACGCGTATTGCGAATGACGCTAGAGACTACAGTTGTCCAGCTATGTAGTGGTTTAATGTGCTATAACTTCAATAATTTTTTTCTCAGAAACTATAAGGATTTTACAAAAATTTTTTTTACAATATTGACTCCATTTCTCATGCCGCATCTATTCCCAAATTTTTTTGGATAAGTTGTGAATCACCCTGTATAATCTAGGCATATTGAATATCAGTTTAAACTTGGAAATGAACATTACCATGAGTTACTTTTAAAAAATTTTATATGAAGTACTACATCTATTTTGACCTTCCCTGTATACCCTTGACATGACCTTTCCGGACACCCTGTATATTATCTGGTGTTTGAGTAACACATGTTTTAAGTTGTTTATTTGACAAAATTTCTAACTTCTTTGATTTATAGTTTGTCACCTTGACGTTTCAGGAAAACACGTAATTTCAAATATTTTGTTGCATCAATGTCTTCCTTTGTACTAATTGTGTCACTCTCAACATGGAGTAATTTGACCATAACCTAGATACCTTCAACTTTGTAGATAAATCGGAAAAGTATACAATGGTGGTGTCCCACCTGAACATCATCACCACTGTCCATTTTAAATATGTTTAATATATTTTAGCACTTATGGGTATCAAAACAAATTTAACTTTTATCACAACAATAAATAAACAATGATTGTCAAGAAAACGATATCATAAGCAATTCAAGGACTTAGTGTGAAATAATAACAAGCCACAAATGCAAAATTGTTGGAAATTTTAAAATGTGTAAAATCAACGTTAGCTTCGTTTACTCCGAATTTGTCTACATTAGTTATAGAAGTACAGATGTTTATGGAATGTACTTGAATAATCATCATGAATAATCATTTTCTTTTAATATTCATTATGTGGCTTGTTATACTCTTGCAAATCTTGAAAATTAAAAAAAGTCATATTTCAAGAAAGGGTGGCTTGTCATTGTTTCACACTAAGCCCTTTTATATTGTAACGAAAAACTTTGCATGGCGTCCGGGAATGTATTGTTTTTACTGCGAAGTATACAATACTGTTCATGAATATCGTAGGTATTTCTAGAAAAAAATGTGCTCTGCCACCTATTGTAAAATGAAAAAATTCTACATTAATGACTTTTTCGACATTAATACATTGTTCAGAGATATTTTAGAAAATGTGAATTATATGAAAAGATTTTTTTGATCAACCGAACTGAAATTTTAAATGATGCCACAATGAATCCTAAAACATCACGCATTTATTTTAATAGGTACCTACTAATTATACAAATTTGTTTCAGATTATTCAAAATGCGTAAACGTACACTTTGAGAATAAAGATGGTGGATTCTTCATAAAACAACAACCCAGACAACATTATTTACCCTCCAGCTCGGATCAAACGGGAAGCACCTCTAATTCCGGGGTGCCGCTGTCGATAGATCGATTTACGGTGTTCCAAAGTTCCCAGCCGATTTCCGTACGAGCTACTTATGGCCCTTTTAGTACAAAGCAGACTGTTCCAGCCAGATACGTCGTGCCTGATCCTCTGCCATTAAATACGTCAGGTGATTGCTGTTGTTTTACGGTTTGATGCTTTAAGCATCCTCATTAGGCCGAAGCTTATATTATTATCTCTAATTATTTATTTGTGGCATTCTTTTATTTAATTAGCGATTTTGCCACACTGAAAAGAAAACTTATTATAAAATATTTTTGAGTACCTGTTCCCTAACTCTATGTCGTAGGTTGAGGGAGGTGTTCTTTGGGTTCCCTAGATAAAAAAACTCTACCGAACCAGGTTCTTAATTCACAATCAAGATACAAAAAGTTGAATTTAAAAAAAAAAATATAACGTTTATTCAAATATCTCTGGGTTAAGAGTATAGTAGGCTCGCGATGCTCGTTCACCTTCTAGTGACCTGTATGTTAGCGTTGAGTGTACTATTTCTCACTCAACGATATTGGTGTATCCACAGAAGCTATACAAATTTAGGTGAAATTTGTATAGAAAGACGTAAACGTAAAACCGTTGGTCCCTTCTCTAAGCAATGTTAGGCAAGTAAAATATCTCTACCCTACGACAATGGGGGTTCGGCAAAATTTCCAGGTTGGGATTGCTCGTCTCCTGGTGTCGGCGTTTAGCTATAGCAAAGTTCATATACAGGGTGAGTCAATTTTTTGTAGTAGGATTTTAACAGTTGATAGAGAATCATTTTTTAATAAGAAAAGTTCCTATAAACGTAGGTCTTAGAACGCTTCGTTTGTGAGATATAGGGTGTTGAAAACAAATTTTTTTAAAAAATTTTTCTTAATATCTCCGAGAATATCTCTAAAAGACCAACATATATTGAACTGAAATTTGGTATTAATAACACATTAGTTATGGTGAATAAAACAAATATATCTGTTATCCATTTCACACACCAGTGGCGTGCCTGAGGTGGGTTACTGCCCTTTAAAAAATTAATTCTTACGCCCTTGGATTTTTCTGGAAAATAACATCATTTCTAAATTTTTTAATAAATTCTGAACAAAACAGCTCTCTTTTTTCAATTTTTTATAAAATGAACGGTTTTTGGTTAAATTCATTTGGCATGAAACTGTTCCAACGATATTGGTAATACATTTGTAATAAGAAAAATATGATGTACCCTGAAAATCAACAAAAAATTAAATGTCATAACGTTGACACAAGAACGCAAACATTGTGTAACGTGTATCAATTAGTTCTTTTTTTAAGTTCTGTGTTTATTTTTTCATGCCAAATTTCATTTTAATATCTGTTGGTCTTTAAGAGATATTAAGAAAAATTCTTAAAAATGTTTGTTTTCTACACCCTATACACAAACTCACAAACGAAACGTTTTAAGACCTATGTTTATAGGAACTTTTCTTATTAAAAAATGATTCTCTATCAACTGTTATTATTCAATCGTTTTTGTTGATTTTCAGTGCACATCATATTTTTCTTATTACTTCACAAATGTATTAGGTACCAATATCGTTGGAACAGTTTCATGCCAAATTAATTTAACCAAAAACCGTTAATTTTATAAAAAATTGAGAGATTTGTTTTGTTCAGAATTGATTAAAAAATTTAGAAATGATGTTATTTTCCAGAAAAATTCACGGGCGTACGAATTATTTTTTTAAAGGGGGCAGTAACCCACCTCAGGCAAGTCACTGGTGGGTTAAATGAATAACAGATATCTTTATTTTATTCACCATAACTAATGTGTTATTAATACCAAATTTCAGTTCAATATATGTTGGTCTTTTAGAGATATTAAGAAAAATTCTTAAAATAAGTTTGTTTTCAACATACTATATCTCACAAACGAAGCGTTCTAAGACCTACGTTTATAGGAACTTTTCTTATTAAAAAATGATTCTCTATCAACTGTTAAAATCCTACTACAAAAAACTGACTCACCCTATATAAACTTTGGCTATAGTATCAGAAATAGGCTGACGTAAAATAACCAAGAAGCAAAAAGCAAAAATGTAAATTATTTATTTCACAAAAAACGTATAGAAGATTTTTATTCGAACGACAATACAAAATACAAATAATCATTGCCGTAGTTTTAAATTGTTTTGGATAGTAGCTGCATTTAAAATTGTACTTATTTCGAAAAAAAAAATTGAATATATTTTCTTGTGAATAGAATAATTTATTTAACATTTTTTAAATTGTATGGAAGACGCCTTTTTTCATAGAAATACCATTGTTCCAAAATACTTGGTGAAGATGAAATTTGGCGATTTTAAATGACAGTAGTCCCCATAATATTTTAATTAGGTAAGTTATTAAACTAAGTTTCGTTTGTCCCCATAGAACATTTTCGGAAATAATATTGATTTAATGTTATATGAAGTGATCTTAATTGAGTTAGGTATATTTTTTAACATCGTGTAGATTTAGATAAAACAACATATTTGTTAAATTATATTCTTTAAATAACCTGAAATAAAGTGATTGGAGCCTTCCATAGTTGTAAAAAATTAATCCGGCCTTAACAAATAATTTGAACAAGTTGATCGCCCATATATTAAAAAAACATTACAGTAAACTATTGGTCTTCTTTTGCGAATTTTTTAATTTCTTATCTTGCATATTCCTGTTAGTTCCGTCATGGATTTTGGTTTGTAAATTTGTTAATTGAATCATTTCATTTATACTGGCTAATAAATTGACATGTTACTAATTTATGGGGAATGTCGTCAAAGTAACAATGCTGCATCTGAGCTAAATGCGGAACGTTTTCCTATACGGGATCTCCCGTCACCATGTTTCATTTGTTCGGATTGTGCAAAGGGGCAGACGGTGATTTCCGGGCACATCGTGAAGAGCATACTGGACTAGAGTACCGGAAAACGCGCAATGCGAGGCACTGATTTTAAACGTTATAGCGATGACCCAATAGATCCAAAAGTTTGCGGAAATGGACGAGGCTACATTTATCCGAAATGGGTTTAACAACTTTAGCGATACTCACGTTTGCCCATTTGATAATTCTCATGCTTATAAGTAACAAACAAATTTTCAGTAAATGTATGGGCAGCTATTGTCAACGGTATGCTTGTTGGACTTTCGATATTGCTAGATCGTTTAATGGGAGAAAGCTCTCTCGAATTTTTGCAAAATAATCTTTGGTTATTAGACGGGGAGCCAGCCCATTTTAGATGTTAAGTGCTAAAGTTCTTATAGATTATGTTCCGTAGATGGAGAGCCAATTGCATAGCCAGCCAGATCACCAGATCTTTACCCTTGTAATTTCTTTTTGTGGGGATGAACGAAAGACTTAAAACTTAAAACTTTAAAACGCCAGTAAACAGAAGGGAAGAACTCATTGCCCGTAAGTCTCTTATACAATTATGGGAAACCTTTATCCTTATTACTTTCCTACCTACGTTACGCCCAACTTCATGTGTAAACTTTTTATTTTTAAGTGTTTTGAAACATTAAGAAAATGTTTATTTGAACTAGTTTTACAAGTTATAAAAATATGATTCAACTTAGTAGGGACACTGTGTATATTTTTTAATCTTCAATTCTATGTATCTTGAAAATCATTGCTTTTAAAATTTTGGCCATCAAAATTTTTAAATCTAAAATGATCCAAAGATCAAATTGCCGAAGTTATAGCATATGCTTAGAAACCACTCTATGTTACTGTTTCACCAAAAAAATCCATCCATTGTTTTTATAAATTTACCTCCCACTGAAAGTAGAAAAGTATATGATTTTTTTTTTAAACCTGGAAACTGGAAACTTTTATCAGTTTTTGTTTTCAAAATTAAAATTAAATAGAAAATAAACAAAAATAAAATAATACAAATTTACCTGCCCAATAGTTGCAATTTTGTACGTGATTTACAGGTTGGTTTTTTACTGACAATCAAACAATCACTAGTGACTAAAACTTGAAGAAACTGAAATAAAATAATTATAATTTAAATAATGAAAACAACAGTAAACAATTAACTATTTATTAGTATTTATATTAAAATAAAAAGTTTCATTGTGAAATTGGATCAACATTAACAAGGGGACATTTTGTGAGACATACTGCAACCGTAGAACAAACAATATCGAAAACGTTGCGTCAGCAATAAACGCAAACCAAGCGGTAGTAGAGCGTCAGCATTGGTGACGTTCAAAATTTTCTTCTTAATCTTGATTTTGTGTTGAAGAGAATCTTCGACATATCCTTCACTTACTTTGTCACTTTTTCAACCTCCCAAACGCTTCAAAGTAATGGTGTCTGCGCCAGAGTCTGTTCGTTATGTCTGGATGCTGAAAGTCTTATGCCTGCAGGTTGAACGGTAAATTTATGTCTACAAGTTGAACGATACATTTTCCTTATCGGTAGTTGAGTCGGTTGGTTGTTGTTTTCTACGCAAACTTTGGTATTGTAGATATAGCTGTATTGAGCTAATGCCAAAACCATTACCCATAATGGTGAAACACCGCTACCTATGAGTTTTTTGAATGGGAGATGAACCAGTTCAATATCAGTTTTTTCTTCTACATGCTGTATCTTCACTAGTTCGTCACATCTGCAACAAACAGCAACAGCAAAAACAGCAACCACCTAAACATAAAACAAGGATTTAGTAAAACAGTTTATAATTAAAATATGTAAAAAACTTTGAACAATAAAAAGCCGTCATCTGGTGTGCCTACAAGAAATTTGTTGATTTCTTATCTTGAAAAAAAAACGACGATTTTTTTGGCTGTGTATCAACGTGCTTCTATTTTATACCTAAATGTGAAATATCTTCATTTTCGTAGACGTTCAACGGAGATATGAGCATTGTACGAGGTCTGTTCAGAAAATAACCGAACTTTTTGAATTACGCGCTAATGGAGTTATGTGATTGCTAGTATTAGCTTTGTTCCTAGTAGAATCCAAAACAGTTTCCAACAGTCAGACGCATGCGCATATGGCAATGCTTACATAAGGTTCAAATTTCATTGTTTTGAAGCAAATACGATTGCGTCGGACTGTTGGAAACTAATTTTAATGCACTTGGAACAAAGCTATTGCCTTGCGTATAACCTCTGTAACCACTTGAAAAAATCAGCAAAAAGAGACCAGTGTCATGGCGAGACAACTCATGGTTCTTGCACCTTCTAGCTTTGTCAATTCATCAGTTTTGTGCCAAAAATGAGATTACTGTCCTCCTTCACCCTCCGTACTTTTCAGACATGACTCCTTGACCGCATATATCTAATCATAATAATTTTAGTATTTTAATTACTATTTTTAATTAGTTTATGTACTTTACTTTAAAAGGTAATCATGTCTAAAAATATTTTAAAGAATTAAATATGATATGTATGGAAAATACGTTGGTAATAAATAAAGAAACTTGAGAAAACTCTTTGCCTTGATGATAAAATAATAACTAAAGTTGTAAGACCATCTGCAAAAAACATATGAGCACATTTGTTAGGAGTGAGAGTATTTTTTCCGATTTTATAAATCCAGTTTTTCCAAATAATATGTCAAAAAGTGACATCTATTCACAAGTACTAATATATCTTTTTTTTGGAAAAATCTAAAACTTTAAGTTTTAAGAAGGTAAATTGTGACTTGATCTAAATCGGTCTACCCTAAGAAACTATCCTTGAAGTATATAACATTCGTAAGGGGACACTCTGTGTATTCAGAAGTTAAATGTATACCTATATGAAATATCTTACTTGCTAACTTTGTCTTGAAAATTCAGGTCGAAAATGTATTATTAATTTACTTTCTATTTATAGTATATTCCGAGACATTCTGGATTATCATTCTTATTAGTGACATCTATATTCCCATAACATCTTATTTATGCTCGTGTTCGTCCACTTTTAGTCATATTACATCATCTTTATTAATTTCGCACACACATTATTTTGAACGATTTAACCGATGATCTCGCCTTATATTCATTAAGTGGGATCAACTTTATTAACCTTTTATTATAGCTACATTCATTGTTCTATTCTATTCTGCATCAACCTCTTAATGTACGTCTGACATGTTTTAATTTATTTAATCTTTACAATTTTTCAGTATTTTTTCTATAATTATAATCATGGTTATAAGTGTATTTACATCTGTTTAAATTATAAACGTACACGAGAAATAAAGTACATTTTAAAAAACTAATTATAACTTGACCATATGTATATTTGATTAAAAAAATAATTTCAAATTCGTGTTTACGGCAACACGTAGGTACTATTACCCCTAAAAAAATCTGATCGCCAATTAAAGTTATACCCTGCATAAATGGAATCAAATTATTAAACATGCTTGAAAGCGTGTCTAGAATGAACTTTGTTTTCGATGTCTAAAAGCCTAAATAACATAAGGCATCACTTTATTCCTTTGGGATATAACAAACTTTTTCACATTGATTTCCTAATGGAAAAATGGACCATATAAACTTCCAACATTATTTTCTTAATACACTTAATAGCCCAGAAAGACAATAACCCGTATCAAGCGAAGAAAACCAGTAGGTTCTTTTCTTTTTCCTGCATGTTTAATGCACGTCTGCATGTCGATGTCGTATGAGGGACATAATTCAGAAACTCAACTAAACCATCCATCTACATTTCAGACTTCTATGTGATATATTTGGACCCTTAAGAGCATTTTTATTTTAAAGGAAATGGGTGCTTGTCAACTACAAGTTTTTTGTCTTTGGAAATACAAAAGCACCCGATACTTTACTTTTTATTAAGGTATGAAGCTAATTCAAACAAATCCTATCAAATTAAGTGAAACAACATTCTTCTATACCAGAAATCTAGGTAGGGATACAAAAGACATCAAACCTAACAGATAAGATTGCTAACTGTAATTTCCCACAGTATCAGCGGTTCGCAATTTTATCTGCGAGGTTTGATGTCTTTTGCATCCCTACCTAGATTTTTGGTATTGACGAATGTTGTTTGACTTCATTTGAGATGATTTGTTTGAATTAGCTTAATACCTTCACAAAGAGTAAAAAATGTGGGAACTAATAATAAAATATACGTATTATGCCAATAAATTGGCGTCACTGCCTTTAAGAGGCAGCAGATTATATACATGGACATAAAAAGGACATTATGCAGTTTACTGTTTTTCTGTTAGTTATGTGTTAATTAATAAATTTTCAGATATGCCCTGTTCAATGAAAATAATGGCGTCAACATTACAACTACCCGTTATACCGGAAGTAGCTATAAATTTCGTTATTTTAAATGGAATACCCTACATATTATTGCATTGAGATACATGAAAAATAAGCCAAAAATGTTAAAGCTTCTCTCTACCTAAATATAACCGTTTTCGAGATAATCGCATTTTATAAAAATTGCAAACTTTTCGAAAATTTCTTTCGTTCTGGAAGCTTTCACTTGCTTTTCGGAACGTTCAAAGAGCATATGATGCACTACCTTCTACTATACAAAATTATATTAAGTGTGCCATTTGTTACGTTACATTTTGAAAACTTAAAACCGACAAAACTTTTTAAATTCAAATGGAACACCCTGTATTTTTTGCACCATGTTATAGAAAGTCAAATTGTCTTTTCACCGATATAGGAATTGTAGGGGTTACAGTTTCAATTTTCTCAAATATTTGCGATTTTTTTACATTCTCAAGAATAATAAAAAATATCATCAACTGTATTTCGAAAGACAGATATTAGTATTGTCATTCAGTATTCTAATCTACAAGCATTAAGTATATATACTCGACAAGAAAAATGCGAAATAATTGTTTTAATGAAGATATTTTGAATATATTTCATATCCATATAAATAAGAAGATACTTAAGTCCTACATTGCTATTTACCATTTGCTGTTGATTGCTAAATGTGTAACAATAAATTCACACCACAAGAAATGTTCAAAATTGTCCTTGAGTGCAATGCATGCTACGCAGCGTCTCCGCACTGATCGTCTTGAGATACAAACTAGCTGCGTAATCAGGGGACCAACATTATGCCTCTAAAAATTCAAGGCCAACAAGATTAGTTTTTGATATATTCGAAAAAAAAACAAAATTTTGGAAATCCGTTTTTGTTTCATTTCAGCCTTGTTTGAGGTGATATTGAAAAAAGAAGAACACTTTCTCATGGCCACTTTTTGCCGTCTATCGAATGGCATAATCAATTTTTATATGTAACGTTTCGTCTCTCCAGGGTCATCAACTTAATTTTTTTAAATATGACCCTGGAAATTTTATTACATTTTTTGCAAGCCTTCATGACCCCCAATACTGTACTGCCTCAGACCGAACCAGATTCAGACGTTTTGTCTCAAAAAATTCATCTTCATTGTATTCGTTCCAAATTTACCTAAAAGTTTAACTAGATAGATTTCACAGGATCTAACGCCACTTACAGTGTACGATAATTCAATAAACAAAGAAATCTAAATAAAAAATTTAGAATAACTAAGTTGACACCTATTTCCGGTATAACCGGAACTGCTACGTTGAGGGCATTATTTTAACCGAACAGAGGATATCTGTTAACTCCTGTAAACAAAATTTCAGAATCATATTATCTTCGGTTTCTATGAAATGTTGAATAGGCCACTTACGTGAAGAACTCTGTATAAAATCAGTGCAAAAATGACAAAATATAACGGTAATAATAAATAACTTTAAATATTCTATTCCTATAACGGCCAATTCCCATTAGAGGAGCGAGGCATAGCACACAAAGATCCAGCAAACTTTGTTTTGTGAATCGTATTGATTAGCTCTCAGTGGTAAGCAGGCAGTAAAAGCTACAAAATCTCGTGCAATATTCTGCGTAAAGAAAAATAACAGGATTTGCTATTTTTTAATTACTTAGTTCTTTAATTTGATGAAGGCATTTCCTAACTTAATATTTATTTTAGTACCGGCAATAGACTTGCAGGATCAAGCGACCCACCACCTGGACATGTCCGCCCATATTGTTCGTGACGAGGTACCACGCGACTCTCCAGTGCTAAGAGTTCTCTTCCATACGGGTACAGATCCAGGAGGTCGTCGTCAAGTCTTGCTCGCTCGACATCATCAACGCGTCTGTATTGTTCTTCACGCGACGATGGGCACCAGGATGCCATTGCATGCTGCATGTAGCCCCGATGGAGAAGACGGCGTCTGCTTAACCCAAATCACCGTACCGTCCTCCTGGTGGCCGCCATTACCATCTCCTGATAAAGACGGAAGACCGGGAAAGCTCACTAAAACACCTCCCAGATTAGTCCAAGTGGCATACTCTGTTTTGGAGCCTTGGCCCGATGAGGGAGAAGGATGTCACCCAAAAATGCAGGTTGGTTATAATTTTTGGTAATTATCCAGAGAATAAATTTAATTTACACCTTTTTCGTTAGAAATATTTCTAACGTCTAACCGTTGCGGATTGTCCTCATGAGGACATAATCCTAGCTAAAGCATCAGGTTATTTCTATCATTTTAGTGTATCGTCATCAGAACTGAACAGCATGAAAAATATCAAAGCCGTAAGTTTAGAGGAAGTCAAATTTGGCTTGCAATATTTGAACTAAACATACATACAAACAAACAATGAGAAATATACATATGAAGTTAAATAAAAGCTTGTAAAAATGACACCTCTTCACATTTCCATACTTTTTCTGTACAAGCTCTAATTTTGACTTCCAACATTTGAATCTAAAGTTGCTCGGGGCCATACGGAAAATTGCAAGCAAAATTAAGGAATACTATTAGAAAACAAATTAGAAACTGAAATCCGATTTTACAATCGTCGTTGTGATAGTGTTTACAAAAGATTTTTAGTAGTTAGTGTCAAAAATGGCTTGCGTGTATAGCAACTCGGAGTTGATGGATATTGTTTTAATTTATGGTGTAGCAAGACAACATTTGTATTATGGTGAAGCAAGACAACATTTGTTAGTTCGTAGAAACTGAGTAAGACGAACCCAAATGTGCTTACACGTCGGTGGACAAAATTTTGAATAGATGTTGCAACATCGGGTATGTCAAATTATTTTATTATTTAAAACCATAAATTAATTTTCTTAAATTAATAATAACAAAAGCGGCAAGAGCAGTTGAGTTCGCTGATATAAAATAGGTGCTATAAAATTCTATTTATTTCTTTCCTTGCGAAATTCTTTCAAGTATTTGTCCGTTTTTATCACACTGCCGCCATGCCGGTTGCATTGTGCGAGGTCAGGTTTTACAGTGGACAAGTTTCCAGTGCCGTGCAGATGTGTATTTTTAAATCATTTTCGAACTGCCTTTTTTGATTTTTTCTTCACAAAATTGTATTTGTGAGAGTCTCCTGTACATCCAAAAATTGTTTTTAATAAGTTTTGAATCATCCTGTATATTTTTATTACGCTATTCTGTGGAAAGTGGTATCTATTTTGGGTATACGAAAAAAATTATCAACTCAATCTGTATCATCTTTAATAGAAATAAGATTAGATAAGGTAAGGTTAAGTTAGATTGGGTTCAGTTAAGTTGGATTACATTAGAATTAAATAAGATCTTATCTAATTCTGATATACCAGATTTGGCTAGAAAAAAACTGGTACCGTAGTTTCTCATAGTGTTTCCATGATTTACTTAGCTCGTAGCATTTATTTAAATTTCACTATGCGCGTATACTCCAGAAACTTGGAACATTCGCCAAGGAAATGCCAGTTTTTTACCCTTCGTGAATGAATCAGGTCTGATTCATTCTGACAAACGGTCTGATTTGGAGAAAAATCGGTAACGGATTCTTAATCAGGCTAACACCCCTGTTCACATCAAGCTGTTGGCCAGGTACCGGGTCTTTGTGTTGGAACACTCACTCTATTCATTCATCTGGCCTTATGTGAGTTTTTTTATTCCCAAAACACAACACAAAACCAAATGAAACCAGATTTGAAATGGTTGAAGTAGTGAAAACAAATGCGACGGAGGTAACGATGGATCTTTCAAAAAACGATATTCAACTCTGCTTTGAACAGTGGAAAAATCGCTTGAAGCGGTGTAGAAATCGAGGAGAGAAATATCTAGGTAACTACTGTTAGAAAAATTATAAATAAAATTTTATACCAGTCTTAACTTAATTAGTTTTGGGATTTTTAAGAAAACGATATTTGATCGCCTCGAAAAACCATAGATTTGTTTTGTGGGTATAAAAAATTATTGAGATCTGAAGTTGTGCTGTTACTGCTATTCCTTTAGTAGATATACGAGGAATATTCGAAAAGTTCTCGACACGGCAGAGAAGACGCATGCAGATATGATCAAATCGCTGGCTAAGATATTGTCAATTATTATTCTATAGATGACGTTTTACGAAGTGTTAGATAAATTCAGTGCATTTGGTTGTTTGGGAGATCGAGTAAAGCAAAATGTTTTAATATTTTCTGAAAAAAGGGCCGGTGCGGGGTCGTAGCTAATGATTTTTCTATCAAAGTAATATGAATCTTTTCCATAGAAGGCAAAATACTCAAATAAACTTAGAAAAAATTAAACTGTGGCACACATAAATAACTTTGGACAATCCATAATATTGTTCTATATGAGGGATCTTAAATTAAAACAAATGGAGTGTGTTCCAATGAAAAGTAGCCTGCTCCTATTGTATCGACATTTTCTGAAAAAGGATAAAATCGAAGTTCAAGCTGCAGGTTACAACTAAATGGAAGCTTGGGCAGCCGAACGATTTTTTTGTTAGGGAAGTACGAATCTTAGGGGTTATGTAGCGGATAATTGATAAAAAGTTTTCACTTCACACAATACAATATAATTTCCATGAACAAGAACAAGAAATTTGGCTACATTAAAGACAAGTTATTAAAATTATTCTCCTAATTGACGTTACCGTGAATACGTATTTAATTTGTAGTTAACAAACGTCAAATTATTTTAATATTATTGCTAAAATACATGTTATTTATTTGCGTCTACGTTTATTAAAGTTATGTATATCTAAAATGATAGGAACGGTGAAGATATAGCTGCGGCCCGTCTTGTCGTCTATTATTACCATATAACCGTATCACGATCATGATAGGTACGCAGTTTGTCTGGTTTTCTTTGTAATCCGTATCCGTATCCCATGTTTTTATTTACCACAAATGATCATAGTTCGACGTTGTTTGCTGTGAGAATAATGTCTTCATCTGTATTAACGACATGATCAAACCTATAAACTGTGTACTTATTTAGGTAGTAATAAATAAACTTTAAAAATGTGCGATGCAGCTTACGCAACGGAATGGTTGAATTTAATCGCACATGTCTTTACTGGTTGTGTTCGTATCATTCCTTTGATGTATCTGTAAAATACCGTCCTAACATGGATCATAGTCAGTATGTTCATTGGATATCATGACACATATACATGATCTACAGACATGGTCCTATCTGCAATAGTTGTCAATGGTGAACTGTGACCATGATACAATAAGCTGATACGTCACAAATCTAAATGCGGCTTTAGTAGATCAATAAAAATATCAATATTTAGTCCCGAAACTATTCGCTTACTATTCTATTTATTAAAAGGAACTTGATTTTGATACACTATACCTACCTATAATTTAATATTAATTGTATGTCACAAAAACTACAACGCATTCTTTATCTATTGAATTTACTGTGAGTACTCAATATGAATTATGTATAAAGTGGATAATTGGATGCCATAAAAGAGAATAATACCTACTTTGGTCAATAATAAGTAGACATTATTTTTTTTATATAAATCCCCTAATTAGACACAGCATAAATCTGTTAAGATGAGGAAATTACTTATATGATGATTTTTGAACATATCTTTCTATATTTTAACATTTCAATATTTTAATTATCTTACACGCAAGATGACTACAAATTTCTTTCATTTACAGGTGCAACCATCAGTTGTTTTGGGCAGTGTGCCACTTGTACCAGCTAAAGGTGCATATAAGGAATTAAAACTGACGGATGCTATCACCATGTTGGTACCCCACCCGCCTCTGTTTCCATTGTCCAGACTGCATATCCCCGTATTTGTAGACCGACAGAAAGCGAAATTATTGACGGCAATTGTTGTAAGGTAAGTGCATCCACTACATTTTTTTTAGTGATTTGTAGGATTTAAACAACATAATGGTTTAGACAAAATAACTTTTTCATTGAATCTTTTGTCCTTTACCTTGGCATATTCCGACTAGAAGTCGGCGAGATTGCCAAAACCAGATAAAAATCGACAGGTGAAAAATACATCTGTTCAAGATTGCACAATAAAATGAGGTGGTAGAAACTAGAGTGCCCATATGATTATTATTCATTTTAACATTTACCGTGAAATGTGAAATTTTATTTTCCAATTTTCAATTCATTATTTCATTTTCGATAAAAATTAAATTCTACAATGGAGAGTCCATGTTAGGGTGGGCGCATGTTCGTAACATTGTTATCTTTAAAAAAATATATATTTTTTATTTATTAAAGGACATGAAATTTTACAATTTTAAAATATACAGGGTGATTCAGGTTTAATCTGGATAACTTCAGGAAACGATAGAACAGGTTAAAATAATGTTCATTCATGATGTAAACTTATTTCTATAAATAGCACCATTTCGAAGATACAGAGGGTTGAAGTAGGATTTTTTTTCCGTTTTTCCCTCATAACTTTTGAACCACTCATCCGATTGAAGTGAAATTCGGAACACAAATACTCCTTATGATATTACATAAGCTCCTTAAGTTTGAAACCACCTACCCCTCTTAGAATTTTATGTGCTACCCCCCTCTTACATTATTTCAAAACTTAAAAAATTGATTAATTTCAATAAAACAGCTGCACATCACCTTTGCCTTATTAATTTTGAAACTCTCATCTCTTGTTTTTTTTTTCGATATTTGGCCAAGAGACGAAAAAGTTTCAAAATTAATGATGATATGATAATGCAAAGGTGGTGTGCAGCTAATTTGTTGAAATTAATTAATTTTTTTAAAGTTTTGAAATAATGAAAGAGTGGGGTAGCACACAAAATACACTTCTAAGAGAGGTAGATGGTTCGAACTTAAGGAGCTTATGTAAGATCATAAGGAGTGTTTGTGTTCCAAATTTCACCTCAATCGGATGAGTGATTCAATACTTATGAGGGAAAAACGGGGAAAAAATTCCTACTTCAACGCCCCCTATCTCCGAAACGGTGCGAAATAAGTTTATATCATGAATGAACATTTTTTAACCTGTTCTATCGATTCCTGAAGTTATCTAAATTAAACCTGAATCACCTGTATACGGGGTGGTCCACTTTTTTGATCAAACTTCAAGAACCAATACATCACCAAAAAATAATGTTTCCTAAATAAACCCTACCCGACAAATGTTTACTTTTTGAGATACAGCACGTTGAAGTTTCCCGAAAAAAACAATATATTTTAGATTCTCCGTTTAATTTGGGTCAAAAAATTATCCTTGTAAGTTTTTCGTACCTATTACAATTTTCAAGTAAAATTTATTTACTTATTTATTATTATTACTAATACAATGCACCTACAAGTTACAGTTGAATTAACGACAATAAAATAATTACTGTATCAATTCATTAATTAATATTTAATAAAACTATTGAAAATAATTACAGCTACATAACATCTAACGAAGTTGTTCAAAATGCCCACCTGCTGCATTAATACATATTTCACATCTTCGTATTAAATAATTTATTCCCGCTATGATTTCACGTGGTCTGCTTGAAATTGTCACAGGCGTCTACTATTCTTCTCTGCAACTGTCTTCAATTGGTACAGGGTAAACATCATTTTTCGCAATTCCACGTACATAGTAGTCAAGGCGGTTAAGATCTGATGATTTAAGAGGCCGAGGCACCGACCTCTCCCCTCCACATTAAACAACGGTTCATATGGCAAACGTCCTATCCAGCGGTTCTAATAATTTGCATTCATCCAATTACGAATTATTTGGCCAGAATGAGCTGGAGCTCCATCCATTTGGAACCAACTGTAATATCTTTGGTTTAAAGGAATATCTTCCATTAATTGAAAAAAGTTATTTTCCAGAAAATTGGCAAATGATGCCGAATTTAGCCTTGGAGGTAATACATAAGGTTCACAAATATCCCATCACACTTAACCAGATGTTGACACTAAATTCTTGCTGGTATGATCGGCGTCTCACTCCATAAGGATTCTCATGGGTCCAAATATGACTGTTGTGATAATTAAATGTGCCTCTTCTTGTAAAAGAAGTATTGTGAGAAACAACTACTTTGGGGGCTACATACTCCACCCAGCATTAAATTACACCTGCTATTAAAACAGGGATGGTTACCCAAAACTGGAACAGGTATTTGTGATGTGGACCATCCGTCCAATTCTATATTACGCTAAAGACGATTGCGGCACTGTACTGTAGGTACTTGGAGTCAAATTCTAAAATATTGTGGTTTGAGAATTTTAAAAAGTGATTCCAATTTACATCGACGCACCTGGTACGTAACGCAACTCGTACCAGAAAAATGTAATTAATACCTATCTTATGGGCTTAGTGAGTGTTTGTTTAAATTAAATTAATTCTATAGGTATGTGAAGAGTTCTAGGTACAGATTTGTGTAATACATCGCCGTCGGNAATATTTCAAACTAACGGTGTTGCGGAAAACAACTATAGGTATTTGTGATGTGGACCATCTCCGTCCGTCCAATTCTATATTACGCTAAAGACGATTGCGGCACTGTACTGTAGGTACTTAGAGTCAAATTCTAAAATATTGTGGTTTGACAATTTTAAAAAGTGATTCCAATTTACATCGACGCACCTGGTACGTAAAGCAACTCGTATCAGAAAAATGTAATTAATACCTATCTTATGGGCTTAGTGAGTGTTTGTTTAAAATAAGTATATTAAACAAATTCTATAGGTATGTGATGAGTTCTAGCAGAAAACACTATATCAATGAGAAGCGACAGCAAGGCTTTCTGCGTTAACAGTTTTCGTATGCGCATGCGCGAATTAGGTTGTGTTGTCAGTTGCCAGTGGCTGTCAGAGCCGTCAAATATAAATAGAAGAAACGAGTAATAGTTTTTTGGCGGTGGACAGTTGTGTTGTATAATGTTAATTGATAGTGGATTTATTTGTATTGTATTTCGTTTCCATCTACAATTAGAATCAACTTGAAATCAATAAAATGCATGGTTATTATTGTGCTTTTCGCAATTGTTCATCCAAAACTGGTGAAAGATCAACCCTTTTGAGATTACGTAAGGATTAGAAAGGTAATTATTATTATTATTTTAAGTACCTACCTATAAATGTAAATTAGAAAAAAGTATTTTGATTTTTAAAATAATGTGGTATGTTTTCTTGTAATATGGTATTGCATAAGTATAGAGAATATATTTAGGAGAATTTTTATTTTTGTTTGCAGTGCTCGAGTGTGGATAGAAACTTGCAATAGACTCGATTTTTTGCCTAGGATTGTGGATGTATATAAGAATTATAGGCTTTGTGAACACCATTTCGAAACCAAATATATTGGTAAGGGAATGTAAGAATAACCTTATTGCCAAACGGAATACCTATACAGTTTCCTCAACTTAGAAATGGGCAAGAAGAGCTAGAGGCAAAAATTGTGGAGGATTGTCCCAAAGAAGTTATTGCATTGTCAGGTACCTATTTTTAAAAAACTATTTCAAATATTGCAGAAAAATAGTATATCTGTTTAATAAAAATATTAGTTGTAAAACATCTTGTTTTATTTTTTTTATATATTATACCTAATTTGTCTACATTTTACCACAGTTATCCTTGTATTATAAGAATAATGTTTGATACTGATGCAGTTCGTTCAGTGTACATCTATTCAAAAGTGTAACTTCTCTCAGTGTAAACGATTGTGTTTCTGTCAAATCGGNAAGACGCTGCACGTATAGTGTGAATTACACCCCTCAAAACCCATAAGATACAATACAAGTTTTGTTTAATTACTTCAACGATAAACAAAATAGTGTTAATTACAAAGTTTCCATTGTCCAGGTCCAATTCATATTGTTACAAAGCAAACTAGTCCGGCCGGATTGTTAAAGTAGTTCGGACTTATTCAATCTCCTCTGTTCCTATCACAAACATTAAACCAGGCTAGACTAGATACTAGAACTGGAACTGTTTGTTCTTTGGAATAGGTATTTTTTTGGAACTGGACTAATTGGAACTGATCCATAAAATTCCTCGGATCAGTCAACCCTATTAAGCAGGGCCGGCTCCCTACTAGAAATCGGAACCGGGTCAGCAAAATGAGTCGGATTTCTCATCTCTCAGGTATTTTTTTTGGAACATTCATAGCTCAAACCCACCAGACATAGACCGGTTTTAGACTTATTAATCCTCGCCAGTATGTCACAAGTGAGACAACCGATGAACGATCCACCTGCTTTAATAACGTTACTCCAGACAAAGATGTATGTACAGTGCCTTTATAAATTCATGAGTCCCACGTTACCGCGACTGTTAGGCAACCAAACTTACAATGGAGTTAATGATTAACACACAATTCCCTAAAGACAGAAAATGAGTACACTGGAGTAGTGATGTGTCGTTTATGAACGATCCGGTCATAATGACCGAATCTTCTAAAAGACCCGTGATTGACCCGTTCACGTTGTGTGACCCTATCACTTATCGTTCATTTGAGCACAAAACTTTTATATCTTTTTTAAAGGCATTTGTAGAAAAGCATAGAGATTCTGGTAAACATTACTAAATTGTACGATACGCATAAAGAACACGTAGAATTACAAATGCCACTGGATTGACATTACATCTAGGTCCCTAGTCGGTAATGTTTCTTTGATAATTTCTGAACCACCAACTTGAGGAAATCAAATTGACTAAGCGCCCAAACAAATCTGGTCACGTGGGGCTCAGACATTTATTAAGGCACTGTATATGCATAACAAAGCGCAGATGGAGGTTCCATGTAACTATATATGGTCACTGCTACTCCCCACCTAGGCTGTTCAATATAGCCATGCCGGTAGAAAGTGACCTGTCATTTCTCAGGTACTATTAACACGACCTGTC